GTGACAACCTCCAAGTTTTGATACATTACTCAGCTATAACTGAAATGATTAAAAGTGCTATTGCATGTGTAGGCATGTTACCTAGAAAGTGGGATAGTTTATATCTTTATCTAGATCTAGAACATCAAGGTGGAATTTGTTACTGGCTCTGTCTTGTTTCAAAAATTTAAGTTAGCACAGAGGCACACTATCATTCAATTTGGAGATCATGAGAATCTTTATTGCTTCGTTTTCATCTATTTCTCTGTTTTGGTTAGCTCCAGCAATATCTGAACTCTAGATGAATGCGACTTTTACTATGTAATCAGGATATTTTCATGGTTCTATACCTATCTTTGTTTTGCACTCCCTGATTCTAATTTAAAAGTACTGACTGCTTTAAAATGAGAAGACAGATTGGTGTGGATGCTATCCAGGAGATACGTAAGAGTAGATTTCATCTGTTTATTGAAAAAGAATAATTTCAAATTACATCTCTTAATCAGGGCTTTGTATGGTGAGAAAGCGATGAAATTGCCAGAAAGAACCAATGAAACAGCTGGACTTTATGCAGAGAAATGTGTTGAGTTAGCCAGGGAACTAGATCTACCTTCAATTAATCTCTGGTCCAAGATGCAGGAAATGATGGTTGGCAGAAGAAATTCTTAAGGTAAATCATGTAGCTTTTTGTAACATTATCTTATGAAAGACACTCACAGGAAACTGATATCACTAGGAATGGAACTGCGACCGTTTTAGTAACTTCATGACATCCTTTTAAGCGGAATGTTTCTGCCAGAATGCTATAGTCTGCCAAGTTTGAACCCTCCATGTAGTATGACAAAACATCAAAGTAAATACAGCCTTTATGGTGGAATTGTGGAAAACTACAAAGGAATAATTTAAAATTGTGAAATTTTGATTCCTAGAAATTGCACAACACTGAACCTAAAATTTTCAAGTTCCCTGTACCTCAGATTTTTTCCTTATGATTCTATGTAATGTATCTTTTCAAGGATTCTATGTAATGTGCACACAGGAACGCATATCCAGCTCCCTCATTTTGGCATAGTAATTGCATCACTTTTACTCATTCTGTGTCTATAGGTTGAAGCGTGCACACTGCCACACTGATTATTTAAGACAGACAGCAGAAGTATTAAATCTTCATTCATGGAAATCATGTCAATGACTGCTTGGGGTTTATATCTACTCTCAATTTAGATTTTTCTCTGGCGGGGATTGAGTGGGACTTTAGATCTGCAGATGATGCCATACACAGATCTTCTATTATTGTTTGCTACATATTCACATCCACGTTCTCTATCTGGCATCGAATTTTTCCCTCTTTAAGTTGCCTCAGCCAACCTCTTACAACTTCAAACCCTGAAAAACTGATTCATCAACCTTTTTTTTTTTTTTTTTGGCAATTTTCAGAGATGGTCTGCATCTAACAGAAGATGGCAATGCAGTTGTTTATCAAGAAGTTGTCAGAGTTTTCAGTGAAACTTGGTTGCCTGCCTCTAAGATGCCCTATGATTTTCCTCATCACTCAGAAATTGATCCGGAAAACCCTGGCAAGGCTTTCCAGCAACAGTGCTTGGGAGTTTAAGATCTTGTGCAATAAAGATTTTTTTTCTTTACTCTTACCTTCTACGATCCTTCTGATTTTTATGAAAGTATTGTCCACGAAACTATATGGTTATTATTCTAATTATAATCCAGCAAATTAGCCATTTATTCAAATTGGGTAGCAGTTTTCTATGGCCAATAGTGACTGTGCTTCTTGTGAAATGACTGTTCCTGAGTAATTATCTTCGAAACTAGTTTTTACCCCATGTAATGGAATATTATATTTGTACCGAGGAAACCAAAGCAAGAAAAATGTATTTATAAAATCTTTAAGTAGATTAGAACATTAGATTAAAAATTTTGAAAAATAAAACTGAAAACCATGCTCGTACTGATATTGTACTCCTTTATGGCGACAAAGGCTCACCTTAAGTTGATGTACTGAATATTGACTTTATAGACAAATCTGCAACATGTATAATTGTTAGAGTGATCGGGAAATTGAAAATGTAAAAGCCTCTAAAGGGAAATGAAAATAGATACCAATTATTTATAGGAAAAAAAACACAAATATGAATAGAGAAGGCAATGATAAAAAAACTACCAAAAGAAAAGGAAAAAAGAATGGTAATGATTAAAAAAAATGGAAAGGATGTACTCGGACATTTTTATTTTAATATTTATTGTGAACTTTTCTTTTTTGGAAAACGTTTAATGTGAAACTTCAATATAGCAAGGACATTCGAACATTTAAACATGTATGCATAAATTTTCTGAATGAAGCAAATTTATAATTAAGTAATCACAAATCCAGTTTCCAGTTAGCCCAAAGTGCTTTAGGGTTTGCGGACAATTGTGATGGGTGATCGACTTTATAAATAAATAAATAAACACACACACACACACACACACACACACATATATATATATAATCTCAAAGACAATGTGATGTAAGGCAAATCGTTCAATAACAGATTCTAATTTTAAAAAAATGAAACAAACAAAAGTTATATAGAAAATGTCCAAAACAGCGTAATTAATTGTTCATAAAGTATATTCTGAACTCTAGGTTGTCTCCTAAGTATTTTTTTTCCAATACTTTTTAGTCACAAATTCTTTTATTATGCTAATACTAGTAGAAGGCGCTTTTTTTTTTTTTTTTTTCATTGCAAAATATAAATACGTTCCATTAAATGTTCATGTTAGCATGCCAAATATCCACTTTAGCAGACTAAAAATGGTATTCACATATCTTGATTGGCTGTAATTGTCATTATAAGACTAATATCTACCAAATTGTGAAATTTTTTTTGACGTAGTGGTAAAAATACAGCGTCATCCATCATATTTTTTCTATAATACAATTTCTTTATTGGGATGAAACTTATTAAATCATGTAGTGGAAATATAACGTTTCTGTGAGAAAAATCTAAGAAACTGGCAAGCCATTTTAGTATGAGAATATGCAATAAATTTTGTAACTCATACCTTTCATTGTTAACCAAATTTCAATCTTCCATTATTATTAAGCAAAATAGACGACAAGTATCTATCCATTCTTCCCCTGTTTCTCTTTTCCATTAGCTATTCTTTACACGTAAAAAAATAAAAATAAAAATAAAATTCTGAGATCATTTTTCAACTGGCTATAAGTTATAACGATCAATCATGTTCACCACTTTTTTCATTTTCCAAAAATTAAATCTTCATATCACTATTGCCTTGTTGTACTCTCATTAAGGTCCCTCTTTGGGTTTGATTTCCAGTTTCTAATTAGTTCTACAAAAATGGAACTGCTTAAACTGAAGGGTTTGAGTCCAAATAACAGATGTGATCACATTTCAGGTCTTTTAATTTCTTTCTTTGTTTTTTTTTTTTTTTGTCATACAACACTCAGTAAATTAAGTCACTTCAGAATTGTTTGACTAGATCATACTAGCACAATCAAGCTATAAAACCACTTGATGCCTGCAAGTGACCTCATAGATTAACACCTTTCGATTGAGTTTCTCTATGCAAATTAATATTTTTAAGTGACAATTAGTGAACTAAAATTAATGCATGCAAATTGACAGAGATAGAGAAGAAAGAGATAAGGTTTCAGTTACCAAATTCAATTACTCATTCAATATGCCTGGTCAGTGGTCATTAATCCCTTTTGTCGACATTTTAGTCATTTTTTTTTGAAAGAGGCATTTTAGTCATTTTTGTTGAGGTTTTTGTAAGCAATCAACTCCTATTGTCCTGTTTCTAGAAACTTGCTCTTAGTTTAGCCATGATATTCAATGAGTTTAATTCAATTTACTGAATTTCGGTTGAAGACTACAGCTGAATTGGGAAAGACTCCCTTTAGGAATTAGTCTAAGTCCTTCACATACTGTTTTAGGTGTTCCCAAACTTGGTTTGATGTCTCTCTAGCTATAGTGGCTTTTCTTTTGGACCCATCCTACGAAGTTAACTTCGGATGCAATTTTGTGAAAATAATTGGAAATGGTTGATTTTGCTTTAGTGGCATAACACATCTATAGATCTATATTTGTTGATTCAGTTAGGATTTGATTAAGAAAAAAAACTTTATTAGTTACTAAGCACTACATTTAGTCCAAAATATTTCAATAAGTGGTATTGATGATATACAGGATTTAAAGGGCAAGACGAAAATAGGTAGCTTTTCTGCTATACTAAGCCATTTGGACATTAAGTTCTCTGGTGTGGCATAACTTTTAGCACTTAACATCCATGGCATGCATGTTCTAATACAATACAAAATCCGGAAAGAATTGCAGGAATATTACTTATCCCATCAAATATCAATTCATGGTTAAGATGCAATGCCATAAATATCCTAATTAGTCAGTCAACACACATTAATTAAGTTTAAATAACAATTAAACAGGGATAGGATCGTCATTTGACACACAGGTTAGAAAATGTACTATTGCAATTAATTAAATTAGTTTTCAAGAAATTTACTATGCTCCTATTCGTTAATTTCTAGTCAAATGTCACATTCTAAAACACTACAAAGCTCTCTTATTCCACTTCTCTCTCACTAATTTCTCCACTATCTTAATGCTCGAGTCATAAAAAACCGATTAAAGTATTTTCTACCATAAATGTACCAAGGTACCACAGTGGACAAAGATTAATGCTTTTGTAGCATATGTCTTAGGTTATTTATATACATAAGATCATTTACATTATCAATGAAATGGTGAATTTTTATTTTTTTTTTTAATTTTTGGTCTGTAAGCATGCAATACCAAGTACCAAACCATAGAGATTAGCCAGCTTACCAACGAAGGGCCCTGATAGAATCCGACTGCAATAAATACCATATTACCTTTTCTTATCTATTAAGCCAAGGTAATGGAGAAAGAAATTGAACACTACAGCATTTAGCCATCTTAATTTCTTTGTCATCTGTTGGCTTTCTAGCTTTTCCTCCCATGGAGTTTAACACAAAATGTAGCAATAAACCTGGCCATCAACAATTTTCCATGCCTGCCAATTTCTTGAAACCTGATATTGACCAAGACTTTTGCATGGATAACTGTCAATCAAAGGGTTTTCTCCAAGATTTTCAGCACCTTGATCACTTTTCTTTTACAGGATCATCATTCAATCCTGACTTAGGCATCCATACAACTGGTTTTGATCCCTTTGACCCCTTCTTTAATGGATCTTCGATGATAGATTTCGACTATTTAGATTTTAAGCCATTTGAGGAAAATGATAATAACAATGGTAAGTTAGTCACGCAAAATTTTGAAGGTGGCGGTGGCTTGTTGAAGCATACTGTTAAAGAAACTCCATTATCGGATGAAAATTCATCTGACCATAAGCTCTTCCCCTTGACTCGTCCAGAAGTTATGCCTTGAATTTTTGTGTCCAAGATGAGAGCTCTTGCATAACTGCTGAAAGTGTTTACTACAAAGAGTCTGGCACAAAAAGAAATAATAACAGATTTTCCAACATTGCCTTATCTTCTTCGACGAAAAAGCAGGGGCGTGGTCGAAAAAAATCCAAATCTGCAAAGGGGCAATGGACCATTGAAGAAGATAGGTAGATAACATTTCTAAACCATTTTAACAGTTTTTTTAAAAAAATAATATTCATTAGGTGTTCCATGAAGGCCAGCATAACTTTGTTGTTTATTTATGTGAAAACAGGCTATTAGTCCACCTTGTAGAGAAATTTGGGGTGAGAAAATGGTCTCATATTGCTCAAGTGCTGAAAGGAGGATAGGGAAGCAGTGTAGAGAAAGATGGCACAACCATTTACGGCCTGACATCAAGGTTTGCTTTTTAATACTTTATTTTATTTACTAAGGATGTAAACATATGCATTATTATTATTTTTTTTTTTTTTGGTTTTTGATGGTTTAGTAATGAAATATGTGCAATAGAAGTTTATGGTTCTCTTGTTACTAAACTTAGTGATCTGGACTTTAATTGAAATTTTCTTGTCACCTATATTTTTGTTTGGCATCAACAAGAAAATAGGAAAAAGTTGAGTTCAAATCCATGACGTGAACACTTTCATGCAATATCTTTGGATGATGAAAATTGCATATTAAAAAATGCATAGAATGTTAGATTTATCGTTTTCACTGCTCTCTTTGTGTGCGTGTGTGTGTTGGCCGGGGGGGGGGGGGGGGGCTGGCTTCCAGATAGAAAAAAACGAAATAAAAGCTAATCTGCATGCAATACACACGGTAATTTACACGATTTGCGTGCAAAAAGATGTTTTGGAAACCATACAGTATAGATCAATGTAAATTTGTGTAAAAGACAAAACTTAAGTTTTTCACGCTTTTCAAAAATCGACCATATTGAGGTAAGGATTTCCCATATTTTTATACGTGGTGCCACGTTTTAAGAGTTTCACCTTTGGTAATTGCCACTTTACTATGTACATTTCTCATAAATCAATGTCAACCGGTCTAAACAACATGATATACAATTTTCAATTATATGGTTTTAGAAGAGCATATCTATGTAGAAAAGCTGACATATTTTGCATCTGGTGCCACATTTTGAGAGTTACTCTTTGGGAAATCACTATATATTTTCATTCATACACAAGAATTGGAATCAATTTTTGGTTAAAAAAAAGTCATAAAAAAGGCAAACTTTCCGTATGAAATAAGTAATATGCTATGGTAAGTTTGATAAATCAACTCAAGAAAGTTTTTCCTTTTTCCTCTATATGCTTTCTGAAACTAAGTCTCCCTGAAACCGAATGGAGAAAAGAAAAAGACTCAAATCAGAGTTGATAAATAGGTATGTCAATTGACGTTATTGTTTTTTCCAGAAGGATATATGGACTGAGGAGGAAGATAGGATTTTGATCGAGGCTCATGCCGAAATAGGGAACAAATGGGCAGAAATTGCGAAGAAATTGCCTGGAAGAACTGAAAACTCCATCAAGAACCATTGGAATGCAACCAAAAGAAGGCAGTTCTCGAGGCGAAAATGTCGCACAAAATGGCCAAAACCTAGTTCTCTTTTGCAAAACTACATAAAGAGCTTGAATTTCGAGAAGAGCAGTAGTGGAAGAAAAAACGCTTCGACCAGTGATACCCAACAATCGGTGATCATAATCAAAATTCAACCCCTAATGAAGAGGCAATGGAGTTAAACAGTGATCCACTTGTTCCAGACTATGATTTTAGTGAGGTTCCAGAATTCGCATTAGATGACAACTTGTTTGAAAGGACCAGCATCAACAACCTGAATGCTGAGATCCACAACGCTTCTCCAATTCTTGATGACAAAGGCTTTTGCATGGAGATCCCATATGATGTTCCTCCTCCAATCATGCAATTTGAAGTGAAGAAGGAGCTTGACTTGATGGAGATGATTTCCCATGTCAATCAATAAATGCCTACATGCCTAGTATAATAGCCCTACGAGAGGGATTAAAATCTATTCGTCTTGCAAGAAACATACAACTTACCCTTTTAAACATAGCACATATTCAGCTTGGATTGATAAAATAAACTGATTAAATTTCCCAGATAAGTATACGAACCATATAGCTCTTTTTCTTTTTGTAACTTTTGGATCAACTTAATGTGTTCTTTTTGGTTAATATTTCATGATTGAGGTTTTATTTGCTATTTCTCCTCAAGTTAATATTAGGTGCTTCAAGATGGTGGAGTTGATAAACTTTCCCTTGGTAATCATGTTTAATTAGGTAATCTTCTCTTCACTTAAACATCATATATAATACTATCATCTCTCAAGAGAACCGTGCTTCAGGGTTTCAAAAATTTGCACTTGGAGTTTAGAGGCATAAGAACCATATCTATCTCTGAAAATGTTCTATTGATGTGATTGAGAATTTGAGATAATGGACTTTGAGAATGACTCCTTCAAATATCAAAATTTTAATTGCCTTTACTCTTTGTTTGGTGCCATCTTTGGTTTACATAGATAAGTTTAAGGGTTATTATTGCTTTACCCCTTAACATTTGGTACTATTATCAATTTCCCCTTAACCTTATTTTTTTTCACTTTATCCTCAAGACTGAAAATTAAACTTAATGGAATTTGTTAATTCAAGTGATAATAACAATGTAGTAATATTATAAAATAAAAAGTATTTTTGTCAAAAATTTGTTAACATATTAAGTTAAATTATCTATGAGGACAACGTGACTAAAAGATAACGTTAGAGAGTAAATTGATGATAGTGATATATTTTAAGAGAGTAAAGTGATAATAACGCTAAGTTTAAGTCAGTCTAGTCACAAAAATGTCTATAACTACAATTAAATGGGGCCGCGATGTCATATGTCATACGGATTGGAACATTTACTTTTGAAATAAATTAGTTACCAAGAATTTGTTATGTTTTTATGAATAAATTTCCAGTCAAATGTCACGTGTGCAAAAGCGCTAGCTTTCTTGTGGCATCGCTCTAAAGTAATTCCTCCATTAATTTAATAAAATTTTCCCTTTTAAACTACCAAAGTAACCATTAAAAAAGGCAAAACCAGCAAAGCAAACCCCACTGCTTCCTTGTTAGACAAAAGGTATACTATTTGGAAAAAAGAAAGGTATACTGTTTAGGTCAAAAAGGTATACTATTTAAACAGCAAAGCAAATCCCATGCTCCCTTGTTAAAAAAATTATATAAAAAATAAGGATGTTAGGTATATTTTTTTGATCAAAAACAAAATTAAGGAGTTTAGTGGATGTCTTAATTTCAGCATATACATTTCTTAGGGCATTCACAATTGATTACACTTTTTAGAGTGTAATCCATATGTCATATTATCATTTTATCATCCTTTTTTTTATGACACTATCGCTCATTATAAATTACATTTACACCCTATAAAGTATAATAGCATGGACTCACAATCAAATCACTCTATGAATTACACTCTTTAGAGCATGGACCGTTAGAAAGCTCTCGAATTGAATGGATAAATTGGGTTAATATTTTGACCTTTTTTGGTTTAAATCACAAGTACTGTTTTATGATATGTGACTAATCCTATTCAAGTCAAGTCGGATTTAAACTCTCTTAATATTATTCTTTTCATTTCTATGGGTTTTGAACCTGATATCTCATAATTAGGAGATGCAAACCCCTTCCACTTGCACTAATATCTGTTGATATATTTTGACAATTGAAAGCTTTAAATATGGGCCCCATGCTGCTGCTTTTAACATTTCGTCAAACGAGCTCTATTCCAATAGCTTTTGACTGTCTTTTTTGCGTAATACGTTATATTCCCATAATGATGTGGAACATAATGCATAGGTGTAATAAAGGGTCTTACACCCTCTATTACACTCCATTGTGGATGCTTTTTGGGTTTTTAGGTCAATTGTTGTAATTGAAGTTGCTAACTTTACATAATAGTATAGGAGTTTATGTGGATGATGATCGCCGGGTATACATATATCAATTAGTTTATCCGCAGTCAAGTTTTTATATTTATAAATTTCTAAATACCCCACAACGATTTTTTGCAAGTATACGAGTCGCGATTGAGTATAGGGTATTAAGGTTGAATCCACAGGGAAGATTTTCAATTACCGGTGATTTTCAAAATCCTTTATTATTTAGACTATCACAAATGTAAAAGATTAAATCTATATTACAAACATGAAATAAAAATAACAATAAAAAGCTCCTAGAGGTATGAAATTCCGTACTACTCTTGCAAATGAAGTTACCGGTTAACTGAATGCTATTATCTTGGCTAGTCATGACATAATTTCCTAATGTATGTGAAACCTACTCTCGTAGTGAACCAACTTACTTTTAACTAAACCATACCTACTATCGTGGTGAAATTAACTACAAGTTCATTTCTTGTATAAATTATATGAAACAAGTCACTAAAGTCACATAGGTGCACCTCTACTCTAGTAAGTGTACTCTTAAGTTTATCACTTCCTTGAACTAGTGTTAAATTCCAATTCTCATTATAAACTTAACATCTTTAGATAATCACAATTAATAGCCGGTTAATCATGATTAGATAAGCAAAAGTGATAAATAACTTGTTCAAAATAATATCATCAAATAATCAAGTAAACATCACTCACAAGATATAACAAGTTCGTTCATAACTCTAGGTATAAACTTTAACTAAACATGAAAAATATAAAAGAAAAGACTATACTTGTATGATAGCTAAATATAAGATTCAAATACAAGAGTTAAAAAGTTGAAGAGATGGAACCCTTATCACATGTGAGTAGCATCTTTTCTATCTTCAAACCTCAATCATCATCCTTGCTTAACATGATACAAGATAGGATAAAACTATACTGTCTATACTATACTACTCTAACTAATGAACTAAGGAAATTCTAGTAAAAACTATATTTTTGTGGAGTTTCTCTAGCTTTCCAAAGTTGTGAAACTATCTCCAAAGGCCTCTATTTATAGAGGAATTCCTTGCATAAGACAAAGTGTTAAATCATGTTAAGATTCGTCTTGAACTCATAAACAAGATATATTTGAGTTGTAAAGCTTCCTTGGCAGCTGTCTTGGTCTGTTTCCACCGAAATTCTTGCAGGAAAACAGGTTAAAAAACTTGTGTGAACATAGCATAAGTTGCAAAGTAAGTTCTAGCCGAAATTGAAGAATACACGACCTCGAAAACGTGACCTTGAGTCGCGTACTGCACCCACACATTGCTTCTGTAGGTTTGCACTTTCTTGATAAATTTCATCCTTGCTTTGTTTTTTTGGTCCAACTTCAACTGATATTTTCTTGATGTTAGAGGCTGAACTAGCTCTTGTACAAAACATGAAAGTTGTAGCCCTTAGCATTAGCTTTCCAATACCTTAAGAATCATCAATTTGCAACTATGTGGACTGATAAATAACCAAACTACCCTCAACTGATTAGAACTCTGTTTCAGTTTTCGACTATGAAATTGCACTTCTATATTTCAACCTTTTGACAATGAAAATGATTGAACTGGGCTTAAATATCTCATATCAAATGTAGATATATCTCTTAGTTTCAAAATGGTACAAGAATCACCTCAATCTGATACTTGTAACTCAAGATATTGCGGAAATACCTCTAGGTGTCAAAGCTATCTTCACTTACATTTCTTCCTTTGAATGTTTTACACTTCATATCTTCTTTAAACTACTTCAAATCATCAATATCGTTTTTAATAAAAAATGATCTTATTAATGCAAGAAAATCACCGAATACAACGAGGGGCCGAGGCCTTTACCTCCATAAAGCGTAAGGAAACCTATTACTTACTAACTTGCTATAGTCTAATTCTTCGAAAACTTGGAAACTCCAACCGATCAAGAGTGATGTCACCTCTCACCAAACAAGGCAACTCACTGAATGAATCATACGTCAACGTCACTCCAGTGTCAACGCCAATGTTTGAAAGTCTGTCGACAGGTTTATTCGCTTCCCGAAAGCAATGTGTGACACCTCTCAAAAACCTGCTATCTTTTAACAATTCCTGTAAATCCCATTGCAACCTCCATGACACCGCACTTTTCCTCCAATAATAATCCAATTATCTTCTCAATTCTCTCTTTTAATGATTGAATCATTAAACCTATAAAAATATGAAGTTTTCACCATTAAAATCCATAGAAATTCAATTTTTCACACTTAAACCACAAAATACATATTTTCACTAGAAATATAGTTAATTAGCTATAAAACTAAATAAAACGCAGCAAAACTAACTAATAAAACACACTTAAAAGATATAAAATATGCACTTATCAGTGGATATTTTGAAACATTAACGGGTTCATATGGTAATATGTGAAACTATATGAATAAAGAGTAATTTACCCAAATTTTAGTTGCTCTCACAGTCTCTTATTTCTTTCTTGCAAATTTCTTTGCGCAAGTTTAGTGCATAATTACGGTGAAACTTTGATAAGTTTTATTAGTCAATTAAGAAACTTTGAGATGATGTTAATAACTACAAGTAAACAAGGATACAATTGTCATTTTTCATACGGATTGTCAAATTTACTTTTACACTTAAATTTACGATGCTTTTGCTATATATTTCGAGTCAATATCACATGTGCAAAATTAAAGCCTTTTTTCCTCTCTCTCTCTCTCTCTCTCTAGAGCTAGCCTTCTTATTTCAATTTTCTCTAATTGACAAGGAATTTGCATGGATAGCCATCGAACCAATAATTTTCAGCAAGAATTTCGGCATCTTGATGGCTTATCTACAGCACCATCATACAATCTTGACTTGGGAATTCAAACAACTCGTGATGATCCCATCCCTTTTTTAATGAATCTAAAATGGTATATTTTGATTTTGTAGAGTTTAAGCCATTTGAAGAAAATGATAATATCAATGGTGGCTTGTTAACTATACTGGCAAGGAAACTCCTGTACTAGT